ACAAATGTGAATCATTAAATTAAATTGTAAAGACCTGTTGACTTCAAAAAAAGGATCATCTTATTGTTCTCCACAGCATTGGGTCCCAATGCGATGTCGAGGGTCGTGTCCAATCCGRTGTTTTGACGTTCTTGCTGGTATTTTAGGCCTTAATTTATTGTTAGGAGTAGAATTCATAAATAAATATGTTTCACTTTGTAATTTTAATAATACATCAATTACTATATGGACGGAACAATGAGCCAAATAAAATTGATCTTTTAAATGTCGATGATATGATTAAGATTAAAAGTTGGAGTTTTTGAACGATATAATTCTAAATTTAATATCTGTTATTTAACATTTATTAACCGTGGCACACAGGTACCTAGGATTTTGGCGCTTTCGTACGATACGATTTTGGCGCTTTTGTACGATACGACTTTATTTTTTCTTATCTAATTTTGGCGCTTATGTCTTTCACCGTAACTATAGTTATCCATTATCTTTTTGATAACATTATTATTAAAAAATWAAAAAATTTGTGTTGGTCGAAATGGCTGAAATATTATACCAAATATAATAACAACATAAGTAAATTATAAGTATACAGGATTATGGATTGAGAGTATTACAATATATTATATAGGCAATATAACAACGTCGAAGAACACTTAGATCTGTAGACAAACTTTCTAGTCTGAAACACCCGACCGACCGCCTGCGGCCTACCCACTGCAGAACTAACGAACTAACGTCGTCTCACGGAAGTGGACAGCATTTCTGTGATCATGGTCCTTCAGCAAAAGCTGGTTTTTGGACTCGTCTTCTAAGTTCTAGTTACTCCTGCCCCTACTCCTGTGGCTGCTACTACTGCTGCAGCTGAATGCAATAGTTATCACCGTCGAGCACCACTTCATCTTGCTCCGTCGAGAGTAATGTCGGATGGACCACAGCCGGCCTGACATTGTATAGTGCACTGCGCAGTGGTCGTGACCCAACGCGCGAGAACCACATGCAGGCTCATATTACTACCCGGCTTCCTGGTCCAAAAGTCCACCACAAATCCTCTTGTTGTCTTTCGTGTACAATGTTTCTAAATCGGCAATGGAGATTCCTTGATGCCCCGGCGTTTCTGCTCAGACTTGTCCGGTTTTCTGCAGTGATCGTGGGCCAAAATCTGTCCATACAAAGCTTTAAAGCTGAAAAAATATCAATGTTTTAGATTAATAAAGAAAAAACATATTGGTTAATATTTATTAAATTATTATTTTTGTTCTTAACTTATAAATAACATATCTCTAACACTCTAACCAATATAACTAATATGGCAAATGTACAGTTAATAATTATTATAATTTGTACAAAATTCAAAACCAATGAACGTGAAGCGAGTGATACCTATTAGATGAGTGCATTTTTTAAAGAAATATCAATAGGTATACTATTCATAATTAATGTCGATAATATTGATTTGAGGTACAAATAAAATCATTTTAGGTCATTCGTGTTATTTCATACATTCGACCAAGCCCCATATTTTTCTCTATAAACTACAGTTTTTAGTTTTTACTTAACATAATATTAGTATATAGGTAATATTAAAAAATACGCTATACAGTATAACCATAAATGTATTGTCCATGTTTAAGGATATGTACGCAGGTACCTTTATGCATAATAGCCAATATAGGTTATTACTCAGGTATTAGGTTTATTAATTAGGTATATCATAGTTTGCATTTAATGTTTTATAATATGTTTATGCATTTTATTTAAGTAGGTACCAACTATAATATGTTCTCTAACATTGGAGTAGTATTGTGCAAACAGATCCTCTTCTGCTGTCGGTTCTAACAGGAAAAAAAATATTCTCTAACATAATGCATAGTATTAAATTTTTTTAATATCTCGTAACCAATAATGTTTAAATATATACGCTGATAAGCATCTTTGTTTAAGCGACTTTATCGAGAAAAAAAAAGATTTTAAAAATAAACAACCGTGAAACTGGTTTTTAAATTTTATTCTTTCACTCTTTGATGGGGAATTTTCAATTTTTGTGTTTCATTGTAGAAAATTTAAGAAAAATTATGCTTATAATTCATTTAACTAGAAGTTCTATGTATATACTCCGCGCCACGAGAGAACGCATACGGCACGCCGCAYGCGCATCCAAATGATTGCGCATTTGCGCTCGAACGTCTCGAGGCCAAATCTCCCCACCATTCAATAACTGGTCACTGCATACAGCGGCTCAAGTAGTACAACAGCAACACGCACAGGCTGTAGTAAATCAAGACCTAATTGAATATATTATAATATTTTCCGATCAAAATCGCAAGTAATTAAACGACTAACGACGTGATGAAAAAATTGTTTGTTATTGTAATCGCAGTGTATACACCTGCCGAAAAAATCGCTGTGCTCCGAAGCGCTCCGACGGGTGGCGATCGTGCTGGTAAAGTGATGGGGATGCGCGAAAAAAWACGTGTTTTGRTCAGCCGCCGCGCCGTATGCGTTCTCTCGTGGCGCGGAGTATAGTATGTAAACATAATATTATATACATTTTTATAATGAAAATATTATATTATATTAACATTAAACAGTGCAGGTACCTATATAAACTATAATATTTGTAAAAATCACCTGTCCTTAACTATTTTCAAAGCAGTTGTTTAAACATCCATTGTTCCATAAAAKAATAGTTTGAAAACCATGTATAATATGTAGTTAGTTATTTTCTATTGAAGAGCATAAACATATTTTTCTAGCTATGCATTTTCAAAACAATAAAACTAAATTATTAGACTTAATTCTAAAAGTATTTAAAATAATAAAAATTAACAATTAAATTGACCATATTAAATATAACTCTTATTAGTATTATTAATATTATGCCAATGGTTATCAAACATATTTAATACATTCATTATAAAAAAGACGAGTGAAAAAAATATCATGACAAACTCACAGTTACGTTGTTTACTGATTCTTGTATTATATATTTTGGTTTTGTATAGTATCTATATGGTGTATTTTTTTATTAAAATAAAATATAATCTCGAGAAGTTAGAGCGACCAGATACACACAATATACTGAAAACAAATATGCAGGATAATATCAATCAACAGGTAGTTATAAATTTTTATTGTTTAATTTTTTTGGTAATATATTGTAAATATTTCTTTATTTGAATAAAAAAATTATATGTAACAAATGTATAGTATAAAATAAAATAATATATTTGATATTTAAATACCGTGTTCATTGAATATTTCTTTGGGATAAGTGAGAAAGTCAACCAAAAAAAAGTGGGCAAGTGTGTAACACTTTGCTTAAGTATACCTATAATTTTTGTCATAGGTGTCAAGTACAACACTGTAATAGTGTAATGGATTTGTTTATTTCATTTCATTGTTATTTATACCTATTATTTGTTTATTTTATTTTTATTTTATCATATAACCAAACTAGGATATTTTGTATTATATGACTATTATTACTATAAGTCTATAATTATTATGGTATAGCGGTATAGGTTAAGGTTGATTTAATTTTCACCGAAATATTGCGTATATTTTAATATTATATTTTTTAGTTTCAGTAAGAATTTCTTATGACTTATGAGTAACTTTTTATTAAATTTTTATTATCAAATATCTTGTAAATATTTGTTATTGGTCATTTATCACGGATTTTGTCTAAATTTGAACTTCAAAAGCTTGTATTACAAAATGTATGCCCATTGATCTTTAATATTTTTAGATTCTGAGCGGAGCGATGAATGTATTGATTTTACCATGATGTGTGTTTTTTTTTTGTGTGTCTGYCATCACGTTTTGGGGCAGTAAAAATGCTTCGATTTTTGACTTCAGTACCTCGTTCGATCAGAAAGTGAATCTAGTATTGGTACTGTGGGAGGTCAAAAGTAAAA